ATTTTACAGATACATAACAATAAATACTACGTGGGAGGACAAAGCCCCAAATGCACACCAGAAAATACATTGCTTTGGTGCCCAGTGACTAGATTGAATAAAAGATGTTCATTGCAAATACCAACAGCACAACCTAAAACACTGAGCTTATTAAACTAAAAATCTTTAATCAGAAAGGGGTGAGTGTATCACAGTAATAACTAAACACCACCGGACAGAAAGGGTCTTTCTTTTAACTTCTGTCGAAAGTAGGCTGCTTGCTGAAACCTAAATACTTTTAACAAATCGGTTGTGTTTAAAGAGCAAACCTTCCCTGGAAAGATTTTTTTCCTCAATCTAATGTACACTAGTCAACCTTGTACTGCATAGTGTTACTTCGTAAGAGTAAATTTATGAAAAGGAGGAGAGAAAGAAACAAAGCAGCATTACTCCCCACCCCATCAGATTACAGCCACACAGGGCACAGCTGACAGCAAAGATGCTTCACTGCTCTATTACATGACATAAGCTAAACTAAGTATATACAGACTGAGAAAGAAAAAGATCCAAATGTCCAAGGAGAAAAGGGGTATAATCTTTCACACCAGATGCACTAACAGAAAGCTGTTGGGAAATTCTTCCTCTAGCTAAATCCCTGGCTTGGCAAGTAAAAATAAGTGGCATCAAGGATGGGGACTATGCAGGAAGTGGGCATCTATGATTCTTCAGTCATCTGAAGTAAGGAGTTGATAGCTGCATCCTTGTTCCCCCTCTGAGCTTCTAGCACTGAGCGGATAACTTCCCTGTCCATGTTGGGAAACATGTCCTGGATAGATTTCAGGTCCTCTTCATTACACAGGTGCTGAGGGTTGACTGCAGGTGGTGGTATTGCCATTGGTACCATGCCTGGATTACAGACTGCAGGCATCCCTGCAGGTTAAAAAGAGAAGAACAAGAAAAACCACAAAACACATGAGTGGGGGGGGAAAAATAAAAATCAGTGATTTTGAAGAAGAGAGCAGCTCACGGCTCATCCCAACCCACCAACTTCAGCATTTATTTATTTCAACATGCACTCCAGAAGAGGGGGAAAAAAAAAAGATTGCAGAGATTATACCTATACTGTTGTAACTGGAAAATATTTTTCTGGAACAGGTTGTCCCTCCAAAGTTGCATTCCAGAAGTTGTAAACTACAGTATGGCAACAGGTACTGGTAAAAATTAGGTACATCTTGCATTAAGCAGGTTTACACATGGATCACTAACCAAATACTGAGCTCATCACAGAAAGGTGTGGTTCGTGTCTCCCTCATCATATTTTAGTTCCAGTGTATTTATGTTGTGATGAAAAAATTGGTTTTACATCAGCAATATACATAGCTGATATTCAGAAAGTCAATGAATGCAATCTCCAGTGCATTCAAAGGAAAGCAAAGTACTTTGGTCCACTAGGAGACTGGATCATACAAATAAGCAATTAAAATTTTAGCAAATGTTTTTCTCTGGCTAAAGTTTCATCCAGCCTGGAAAGTCACTAAGTGGCAAAAGAGCAATGCCTATAGGGATATACACACTGCTTTTCCCTGTCTCTCTGCTAGAGGACAAACTTCATCTGACCTGACATTTTTTGTTAATTGTTTGCATGTCTACATGAAATTAAGTGCAGGCAGTTTATAAAGAGTTTTACAAAAATGAGTTTTAGAAAATGAGTTTTCCAGTTTCTCTTAAAAGGAATCACCAGACAGAACTCCCTTTTCATCACTTCTGAAAGTGGTGTATTTCATGTCTTCACTATGTAGTTTCAGATCCCTTATTATCTTAGTCCTACTCCTTTGTGTGTTACCTTCTGTAGTTCTCCCCACAGTGTTTCTAAGGTAGGGCAAGGAGAATTACCTGCATCTAGGCACAAACATGGCACTGCCTCATACTGAGAACAAACACTAAACCTTTATCATGCTGCTATTTGCTTTCAAGCATTTTATGCACTGTTTCAAAGACTATTTATCTGGTATTTTTATGGAGTAGTCTACAGTAATTCAAAGACCTTCATGTGCAGTAATAACCACTAGAGAAATCATCACCAAACATGTTAGCCAAGATTTTTCTTTACACATACTTTAACACCAGCCTTAAGGTACAATTTTATTTCCTATTCACTACAAGAAGATCCTTCTGCAACCTGCTGCAGTCAGAGAGACTTAGAAAACTGCTAAGTGTCTTTGTTTTGACAAATTGTCTATTAGTCCCCTTCCTTCAATTAGTTTTTTAAGAAGTATGATGCACTCCATCAAAGGTCTCTTTCCATTAGGAGATAAATAATCACTTATTTTTATCTGCTCATTGGCTTTTCAAAATAGCTATTAAACCACAAGATGACCTTTATTGTATCAGAATATCATATGATAGAAAGAATACTTAGCAAATAACATTTTCCAAATGCAGCTCACAAGATGATATCCACGTACTACACCATTCTTTTTCACATATTCATACATCTATAAATTTTAAGGTATAGGCTTTCCCTACTCAACCACATCACTTCTTCCTTAAGCTTACCTAGTTACATGCTTGGTTTAAAACAGTTTGTTATAGTCTTCATAGCTTTTAATAATTTCATGCAATAGAGAAAACAGTTACTTGAGAACTGTTTTTAAAAGAAATTTCACCTTGCTATCCTCCAGTCCTCTGAAAGCAAGACTAATTAAGCAATAGATTACATACTGCATTTGGTAAAAAAAACCAAACCAAACAAACCTGACATGCAAGACAGGGAATGTTATCTTACCTGCATTTTCTTATTGCTCACCTTAACAGTTCGTGTTAAATACTGAAATTATAATCTAAGGCTCTTTCTTCATAAAAAAAGCATTCCTTCCTAAGAAGGGCAAAACCAAACACTTTCTTCCTCCCCCCATTATTATCTCACCTTCCAACTGGGTTTTTTTGTATTACCTTACATACGTATATCTTTTTAGTCATTTAATTACCTAAATGATTCTAGGTTCTCTGCTTCTTTAAAATAAAGAGCTCTCAACTTTTTACACATTTGATCTTCAAAATCTTACAACCAGTTTAGATTTAATATTTAATTAACACTCACATCCCCATATTTGGGCAGGCCTACCAATTTTTGACAGAAACCTACTTCACTGTTTTACTTCATATTTCTTAGGATTCACAGTAGTAACTAAACACAGGATTGATTTTGTTGTTGATTTTGTGGTTTTGGTTGGATTTTCTCTGAGCACCTAACAACTTCCTCTACATAATTTTTAGTTCACTTGTTTAGCTTTCTATATATGACCTTTATTACTTCCCTGTAAGTTAAACAAAGCATGAACTATTTGCATCACTGCTATTATAAACCTCCAAAATATGACTCTTTTTGAACCAGGTTTCATGTATTACTCAGAAGTAGATCAGAAGCTGCTTCTCTTCTATTGAATTCTAACTGCTCAAAAAACATAACAAAGCATATGTACAACTGATAAAATTTCCAAGAGTGCCTCTCTGCAGCCTCATCTCTTTTAGCATAATGACTAAAGTACTTAAGTGATTATTGCAACTATATTATACTACTTCTATTCAGACTTAACATCTAAAAAAAAAGAGCAAGGAGCAGTTTCAATACTTACCTTGTCTCTTACGGATTTTCTTTAATCTATGTTATTAGAAACATCTATACTCACTTTAACTTGTACAAATGTTTTAGCATCTCTCTGACTCCTTTTTTCTATCAGCATTGAAAATGCTACATTATAAATCAGATTCAAGGTTGGAAGAGCTAAGCATCAACTCTGGTTGACAAGGTACTGTAATTTTATATAGTTTGACTATGTGTATTTCCACCACAATTTTACCTAATGTACTCTTTCTATTTCTTTCCTCAACTCGGACTTTTGTCCTATCTGAAGGGATACATTACTGATTTGTAAGCACCTCCATATTTATCAATGTTCTTCAATTTTGATTTTAAAACTCCCCTTTTAACCATCTTAAGTTTTATTCGAAGCAAAAAAGGAACCTAGAAGCTTTAAGTCAAATGTACAGGCTGCATCTATTAAAAAAGATTTATACTGCCAACTCAGTCATGATTCATAAATTTATGACCTGCACACTGGAACCATGTCCCTGCCCCATCACCTGAATCACACCTCTACAAAGGACATCTGGTGCCTTTTCCACAACACCCTAAACTTTAGCTCTACTACTTTTTTATGCCATTTGGACCATGGGCCCTGTAATCTTATCTGGCACTATGCATCTGAACACATGGCAAATCAGACCATGTGTGCACCCTAGAGGCAAACCACTGTGCAGCCCTTAGCAATACTGCAAATACACTTTCCCCAATAACCATATCCAGTAGCATTTCAGACTGCCTCTTCCATAACTTCAACAAACATAACTCATTCTTCACACCTCCTACAAACAATCTTTGTATTTAAAAGGGTTGAACAAAGATGCGCGGCCTCAAAAAAATAAAGGTGCAAAGTACCTGAAAGAACAGAGCAACAGAAGTTATGTTTTATTTTTAACACAAACCTTCCAATATTTTTAGTACGTCATCGACACCCTAAGATTATCCAACAATCAGCCTAAACTGTGTAGGAACTGCCCATATAGGAGTTCAGCTTAAAATATTAATCCAAATTAAACATGAGGCTCACTTCCCGAACACCATAGCATTCTACAGCCTACCAATAATGTTTCAGTGTCTTATCAGTCCCCAAAAACAAAAATCAAGACTAGAACACAGTTTTCCTTACTGCTTTCATAAAAAAAAAAAAAAAAATTTATGAAGCCAGACATCTGCACAGACTTCAAAAGTATTTTCAATACAAATAATCAATTTTATACACAAGAAATTTCTTAACTGCATTGTTTCTCACCAATGATTTTTCAAAATCCATTTTCTCAGCTCTTACAGTTTTAGAATTAGTTTATACTTTCTACAACTACACTGTATACAAATGGAAGTTAGTATCACAGTGATTTTTAATAAATACCTCCATGATAAATGCTTACTTTTCATGAAACTTAACATTCAAGCTATACAAATACCAATTTAAGAGTACTCTGGGGTGGGTTTTTTTTTGTTCCACACTCGGGCTAAAAGCATCCACAATTTCTGATTTACAAAATAGTAAGACTTAAGCATAGACTTGAAGAACTACACACTAAAATTTAGAAAATATCCATATATACACAGTCATTAGAGAAAGTTATCAATGCTCAGTAAAGATCTGCTTTACATATTAAAAACCTCATATCACTAGCAGGTGAAAACTGGAACTGAATGACATACGAGTCCACTACCAATGGAATTGCAGACTCCTGTGTTGCCCTCAGGTATCAGGTAAGTGTAATAAATCAGAAGAATGAAGCACTGTTTTCCAATTCAGTGAAATGGCAATGGCAAACATGCTGGCATAAGCAGTGACATTCCAATACATGAAACAATAGCAAGTCAATTGCTGGAAGCATCAATGGAAGCATCAAAGCAGAATTAACAGGGTAAACTTTTTCTAACTGCATACAAGGCATTACACACTTGTAATTTTATTTTCTTTTTCAGTCAAGGGCCCTATCGTTAATCTCTGAAGTCATTATTATTCTGTCCCATGTATAGACTCTTTCAGAGTAAACTCAGGAACCTTCTCAGCACGAATTCTTTCATTTAAATGAAGAAATCAGTATCACCTTTTCTAAAAGACAAAATAGGTCTTAATGATATTTGTTTCAGAAAAAAAACTCAGTGCTGAATATGCATGACATTTCAATTTTTTTAAATGGTGCTTCTTTGCAAGCTACTAGAAAAATTAAGCATATGGACCCACAAAAAATTTCTAAAATGCCACTGCTCTGAATAACCCAAATACGTTGCAATAACCACAATATTTTTATTTACAGCATCTTTCTGAAATTCAGAGCATCAAGAAATTACATTATATCTCACAAGGAGTAATTGTAGAATTTTCTGAACATTTTTGATTGAAGACCAATGTTTTATCAAAGTTAATGATGTCGTAATATCTTCACACAATTCCAAATCAAAGGTGTCACAGTAAAGTAAGTCTAAATTGAAGTAAAATTGATTTCCTGTAATATAATCTGCCTTTAAGAGTGCTTAAACTTGACATGGATCTAAAACAGATGTGCATGAAAAATACACACTGATGAAAAAAGTGTTATCTTTTAGGAAAAAAAAGCTTATTTGAAGATTAACAGAAGGCAACTGGCAGGTTGTCTTCTCAGCGTCATTGCAGAACGAGTTCTTTGCTTTCAAGCTCACAAAAAGTCATGACATTACCTGGTTCTCCCCAAAACTTGCAGTAGCAGAACAGCTGCAAGCATATGACCTAGAAGAGCTCACTGACGTACAATAGCTTCAGAAGAATATTATAACATCATGTTATATCCATCAACACCATTATCACCAATTAGTTTAAGCATTATAGCATGAAGCTGAGTCATTGAAGATTTTGCAACAGGTTAGAGAGGCTTTAACAATTTCCAGGAGATGGATCAAATTGTACTATTGTGACAACCAAGTGGCAGTACCTTGTGATACAGTCTGCTGTAACAAATAAAGCTGTTTAGGTGAGTTCATGCAAAGACTCTTGAGTCAATGAGGATGGGAGTGAGAAAAGAGCTTGGAAACTTACCCAGTGCAAAGTACTCAAGCCCTAAAGACAGGTGAAAATGAAGGGGCAAGGGGAAAGGAATAAGACATGGGAAAGAAATATTAATCTATTTTTAAAAGGAAATTGATCATTTAGCTTCCAACAGTGAAAGCTGGATAAACTGAGGCAGTTGGGTAAAACCTAAACTACCTAATACTAAAAAAACTAAATGCTGCTAGGATTCAATCTCTCAACTAATTTGCTTCAGCACTCTGATCAAGTTTCCTAAACGTGCTGTTTATACAGAAGTCACAATTAGAGGAAATGTTTCCAAAATAAGTAAGCCACTAGGTGTTTGCAGCAAGGATTATATTTTATAGCCCACAAAGGACAACATACATTCATGGTTTTCTGAACAAATACCAATAGTGTCACGAGCTAACCCAAGAAACTCAATATGGACACCAAAAGGAGTAATGTACATATACACACAAACTTGCCTCAATGAAAAGTGATATTCTCCACTCTGACAGGACCCTAGAACACATGGGTTTTTGAGGTGCTTTTCACACAGGTGTCAATAAATTAAGTACAAATACATTTCCTATTTATCCCATGATTATTTAGCTGATAAGAAATATCATTTGCTTATTGAACTAACATTTTCTAGCTTACTGTCTCTGATACACTACTACCAAGATACTATCAGCACCAGTATTTCACAATATTCTACAGCCTAATTAAGTAATCTTTAGAAAAAGAAAAGGGAAGAGATGGTAGACAAATTCAACTTCTAGAAGAGCAACAGGATTGATAAGTTTAAATTTTTGTATATTAATCTACAAATATATCATCTACATCAACTACAGTTTGTAGTAACTAGTGTTATTGTCAGAAGTTTCCAATTTTAAAAACTTTTGAAATTAATTACCATGGTACAAGAATATTCTATGGCCATTTCTGTTCTCATCACAGCTCTGTAACATCTATTGCCAAATGTGAGGAAACGACCAGACTTCACCTGCTTACCACAGTGACTCACTTCTTGCTCCTACAGTTTATCCCACAGCAATTAGCTGCTCTGAGCCTAATTAGAAAGTTAGTTACACACACCAAGGTTGGAACAGAAGGTTTCTGTTACAGAAAAAAGCTTGGCCTTTGTGACACACCTGAATTTAACTTAATGTCATCTCTCTTTAAAGCGCTGCTATTTTGGACAGTTAACAAGTAACTGCTAAACTCTCTGGATAAGTATTTTAGTCTACCCGCTGTATTTCCATCATAGATAAGACTTAGATTCTAACAGTCTTGCCCAACAGCGGAATCCCCTCCACTTCAGACAAAATAAACTATTCAGTGATGCTCTTCTACTCTTCTGAAGGAAAGCAAATAGAACTTGCTTACTTACAACACTCATTTAGCTGGGTAGGTAAAAAAACTGAATTAAAAAGATGCAAAGATGTCCTACCATCGCCCTTCTTGAAGCAGTTTCAAAAAAAAGAGAAAAAATGCTGTACAGTGTTACAAAGTGTGCCAACAGAGTGGGCCCAGAAGATACAAACAATTCAGTTAGTCAGGGAAGGCCAATAGTTTTCATACACCTTTCTGAAAGTGTTTACAGAATCCAGGAGGAGCATCTAGTTCAGTATACAGAAGACATTTTTAAAAAATCCATGTCTTCCAAGAGGCACTACTGGTTTCATTTGTAATTTGAAACTACTTTTATTAAGCTATTAAATGTGTGACACAATTAAAGTTAATTTACAATTCCAAACCCAAACATCTGTATAATTATTACTAGTGGGTCATTGATTAGTGAATAAGTCAAAGCTTTAAAACTCACAGTACTTTGGGAAAATTTTGATGATGTCCACAGAAATTCTAGAACAGCGAATACAAAGCACAGTAATATTTAAAAAAGTTTCAAAAATATTAAATATAGGGCAAAGGTGGCTTGTAAGAAGTCTGGTATTTATAAAGCCAAGGAAGTACATTCAAACTTTCCCAGAACAAAGTAAAAGTTCAAATCCAAGGGTGGAACTATCACTTGAAAAATATTATTTATTTCTTCACTTGTGCAAGTAGAAAGTACTCTCAAGATAAATACAAGATTAACAGAACATCAAGATCTAAACATAAGATATACCACAGTACTTGAAAAACAATTTTGAGGGTCTTGTATCAGTTTTATCTGCTGAGTTCTATGTCTACTTTCAATTATACCTGAAAGTAGTCTCTGCTTTATTTCTTCTGTTAATATTCTCTCTGGCACAGAAATTTTGTAATATTATATGAATAGTCTCATTTTGATCTATTCTGTAGCACCTCCTACTATATCTTTTAACCATACACAAGATGACTATGTTCTAAGCTCACTACAGAAGGTCTGGTTTATCACAACAGGAACACCCTTCAGAATGCACACCCAAATTAAAAGCAGTTCACTGGCAAAGCAAGCAAGACTTAAAATCTTAAAAGCATTTGAGATAAAGCAAACTGCATGTTTTTATCAGGGAATAAAGTATGCTGCCAAACTTTTCCATGTTTTGCTCTAACTTAACTCCATAAAAATGAAACAGGAAGTAGGATTTCTAAATTACATATCCAATCTTCTGTTGATAAGATTTGTTTTTACAGAGAATGGAATTTTAAATTCAATCATGCTCTAGTCTTACAAAAGAAAAATAAAATGTATATACATCACAGTTGTGTCAGCCCTTTGCACTGTAATTATGTCTCACATACTCTTATCACTCATTCATACACTTGCATGCAAAGAAATGAAAAATAAGTAAATTTATCTCTTATTTTCCCTAAAAATAACACATATTACTGAATAAATATCCATACAACAAACCAGATTTAAGAGCCTAAAAGTGAAACACAAACTCAAATGAACTTTACTTATCAGTTACCTAAGTAGGGCAAATTCAGGCTTATTTACATACTTTAAACTTTTCATCTTTGACAGAAGAATCACAAAACCTACGTTAACACACCTTTTCTCTAGAAGTCCAAAACTCACTTTGAACCAACCAAGAGCACTGACAATACCTGATGTATTTACATAACTACCTCAGAGCTCCCTAGCATTCTTCATTCACTGAGCTACACACTTCACATGCGGTGCAGCAAGTTTCCAACACAGTATCTTCAGTGACCTGACCTAGGTCTTAAATACTCAGAAAGAGAAGCCTTCAAGACACTTGTTCCAACTTGACAGACATTTTAATCCATTTAATCAAACTCATACATCATCCTTAAACAGTGTACAAGACTGAAAGCAGACCTACACTTAATATGCTTCCTCCTCTCACAGAAATGTGTCATGGGAAAAGTGGTCAAGGACAAAATCATTTATAGTTCCCTGCACGTTCTGAAAACAGGATAAATTTGGTATTTATTTCTGAGAAACCCTTCATCTGAAAGTTTCAGAGTCTTCAAGGAGAGAAAACATACCTGCTATAGGCACATATCCAACTCCTTGCTGATATACAGTGGGCATCAGCACCACTGGCTGGGGCTGCATCATCATGGCAGCTGGTAAAGACTTGACACAAAAAGCACAGATTAGAACAGATTAGAACTCAGGAAACAGCAAAAACCCTAAAATCGTCAATTAAAACTGTTTGCAAACAAGTCATCACATTGCAGATCCATGTCCAATATTACAATATCATTATGCTAAATGCTAATCTAGATCAAGCAATCCCTAGCAAATTAACTGAACTACCAACTTTTAAGTGACAATTTGCCTGTAAATCAATAATAACACATCATGTCAAAGTACCTTTTGCAAGAGTGTGATAAAATTTGTCACTAAAATCTTTTTACTGAAGTGAATTATTTTAAAATACAGGTTCAATCAGCTTTCATGCCTTATTCTAGTGAAATGAATATACAACATATCATAAATGAAATATTAGAGAAAATCTGAATTTTATTCTTATTTTTTACTTTTAAAAGCAATATACTGCTCTTAGAAGCAAAACTGAGTTTGAATCAATTATTTCTGAGGTAAACCAGTTCTTTAAAGAAAATGTCAATTTAACTCCATTCCCTTTTACTACCACAATTCAGTTCAGTTTTATCCTTGAAAATATTAAAAGGTCCAATTCTATGTACAGTAGATTCATGGGGAGATAGTTTTCAAGGTTCACTACAAACTTATTTTTCTTAGGGGTAACAGAACAACTGTTCAGATTGGGGCAGAATGTGAATTTCAAACAGCAGCAAACATCTGTTCCCAGCTGTGTATTCAACAGCAGCCTGGAATTTCTGACAATGTACAAGTGCAGTAGGAAGTGCTCAGGGCTGCACATGCTACATGTTATCCAACAGCTACTTAATACAAAGGTGACAGATAAAAACACTCCATGAGCTGCTTAACAAACCTGTGTAAGGCAGCAGTTCATAACCAGTAGCATCAAATGAACAAGAATGGAAGTAAAAAACAATGTCATCTGAAAGATCATTCAAATTACCCAAGAAAGATCTAAGACAGAGAAGAGTTTCCATTATCTTTCTTTTAAACTGACATGAATTTCTTAAGATTGGTGGCAGGGGCAGGGGGAGGTATCAGCACTGGGTGTATTCCTAAACAACAGGAATAAGCTGAATTTTCATAATTGCAGAACAAGATAAATACTCATCTACCACCTCACTAAAAAGTATTTATTGCCTTAACTAATATGTTTGACTGCTATTCCCAGACTTAGGTATAATTATTTTAAATGCTAATAGACACAAACACCCAGTATGGTAAAACAGAACTACTTCTACTTCAGTGTAAAATACCTCCCCCTCCAGCTACTTAAGAAGCTTCTCTCCCTTCCTCCTCCCAGCCTCAAACTTGGCTTACCGTGTATGACATAACCAGATTAATCATTCCTTCCTTATCATCACCTTGCCTTCCACTCAGGCTATACCACTCATCTTCCACATTTCCTTGTTTCAGAGACTCAGGAATTGTAATGTGTGTCCAAGCGATGCGGTCATCCATTGAAAAAGCTCGCTGGAATATAATTTAAAAAATATTATCAAGTTAATTGTCCTACAAAAACCCCCAAAACAACTTAAAATTACTCTTGACTAACACTTCAGTTTTATGCTATTTAATTTTGTTAATTTTTATGCCTTTTGAAACAACTGAAGTGTCAGTAAATATTTTGGCCATCTCCTTTCCAACAAGGATGAATGATCCTTTTAATTAATGGGATTATAGGTTGATTGCAGATATTTAATAGCAAGAAATTGAAAGCCTGAAGCAGAACACTTCCAGAAATACAACACACTAATATCAGCATAGTCTGTGTGAATCTTATGACATCACATCAGAGGCCATTACATGAATGCAAACAGCTTCTCTTTACTACTATATGCTGTGAGCTCCAGTAATTCAGCAGCAGATACAAGCACTGATCTGCCGTCCCTGCTGCAGCAATGAAACAGGCACTTGAACCTTACCAATGAAGCCCACAAAAGAGCATCCAAAAGCCTCACCTGTGTAATGAGCACACAGCTGCTGCAGTGACATGCTTTACATGAGAGGCAGCAAAAAACAGGCCAACTGTAAGACTTTAGCCTCAGTTGTAGCTCCCTAGTTTCTTCTAATAAGTCCTAGTGACTGCACACAGTCTGTATTTTACAGTTTTATCCTCAGCATTTCCAAGCTTGGGAAAGCTTCCAAGCTCATCCTAGGTTAGAATAACACTGAAGAATTTTTGAGTAAAACAACATTGTACAAACAGGTGATTTTTAACAGGGACAGTGCAGAATATAAGGCTGCAGGGCATTCTGATAGGCAAGAGGAGCTTAAATACCACTCAGACATCTTTTGCTTCTCTTCCTTTGCAGGCAACTCTGCTGGTGGTGCCTCTTATCAGCTATCAAAGGAAAAATAATAGTTCTGACATTCTTGGCAAAGAGTAAGGCCTTATGCATTGCTGATTTTGGCATTCTGAAACATTTTCATCATCTCCCAGAGAACATAGAAATTGTTTTTGGTAACTCAATGCTTTTTTGCAAGGTTTCACCCAAACCTCAGTCCAAATAGCAGACAGAGAGAGGTAGAAAAAACACATAGCAGTTCTGACCTCATCAAATATCTCTAGATAAAAAGAGTCCACACCCGGGGGAACAGTGCACTGAATAACTTTGTTCCAGCGGGGGTTCTTGGCTCCATTATGTGCTGTAGGAGTTTCATACACAGCGTAGCCCAGCCGTATTCGACAGTACGGATCCATGCGCGTCATTCCATAGTTCTTTGCCAGTTTTGCCTGAAAAGAAACACAGTAAGAATATAATATTGACATAAACTTGAAAATTTAATTACTATTAGTTCACAATAAGAATCAAATATTGAATAACGGACTATATTCAATTGTGTGGTAGACAGGAAGGAGGGGGAAAAAAAGTCCAGAAAAACAGCATTCAGATTAAAACATAAACCGATGACACCATTAAATGTCTGGGACACCTTGAAAAGGGATCATCTTTTTAACTTGTCTGTTGTAGATAATACACATTTTCACCATAGCTAAAATAAGTTGCTTCACAATAAAGCAAAAGATACATGATTACAAGGAAACAGCAAAAAGTCCAGTTTTTCCCTAGATATGTGCTCTCCAACATACAATCACAAGCATAATGAGATAGGTATCCTGTTCTCTTTCACTAAAGTTCTTTTAAAGGATGAAATGCAAAAATCCAGTAGCTTCAAGAACATCACACAGTACAAAAGCACAAACTGCAAATTCAATTGAGGTAAACTTCAGGAGATCATACCTTCAGCACGTGCATTGGATAATATTTAATTCAGTGGACAACTTAAATCCTAACATTACTATAAAAATAGATGGTATGTAGAATCAGAAAAGATCCAACATACTTTTGCTGTAACATTAGAAGACCAGAACAGAACAAGTTGAAGACAATCCTGAACACAACACCGAGCACTGCTGTGCCCAAGCAGAAGCTGGGCTCTTTGGACATGCTGTTTCTCTGACCTGTACTAAGCAGTTCTTTTCATAGTAAGACAAGTGACAAACCATGGTGCCTAAAGGTGCCTCCCACCTACAGGACAGTTTACAGAATTCAACAGTTAAGAGGTGCATAACATTTATCACAAGTGCTGCGCCTCAGGCTTGGAAAGCCCTTTTCTCCTTCAGGACATGCTGGTTCAGCAATTGGTACATTACAGCTTGTGAGAAAGGTCTCAAACTTTCTTGTTTCTTGTAAATGTGAACTTAACGTTGGCACCTAAATTACCCACTCTCTAGACTCTGAAGTCATGAGATCAAGTAGCTTATCATAAAACTCTTTCAAAAAGAAAGGCAACAATCAACAATGCTTAGACAAACTCACCACCATTCCTGTGTATCTGCAGAAAAAAAGCGCAGTAAATTACCTTCCCAGAAACTTATTCAGATCTTCCACCAGTTTATTAGTAACAGAACTAAGGCATGCTGCTCGATATAATTTATCAACACATATTTAAATACAAAATACTTCAATCAGCTTTTCACCTTCTATAGGTTAACTACACTGTGGCAAGTCTTCTATCCAGAATGCCATGTCTCAATATGCAGCCAAGATTCCATAGCATTCCTGCATAAACTCCCAGACAGGGACAGAAGAATATCTCTTGGGACACCACAGGGTTGTACTGTCATTCAGAAGGACCTTGACAGGATGGAGAAGTGTGCAGGCAGGAAATCTCAAAGTTCAACAAATGAAAATGCAACATTCTGCCCCTGAGGAGGAACAGCCACATGTACAATGGTGGTAGACTGTGGGCCACCTGGCTGGAAAGCAGTTTTGAGGAGAAGGACATTGAGGGTCTTGGTGGACACCAAATCAGAAATAAGCCAGCAATGCTCCCTTGGAACAAAGATAAGCAGTATCCTGGTCTGCACTAGGAAAGCACAAATAGCAGATCAAGTAAGATCCCTTCTACTCAGCACTGGGGACACCATGTCTGCACTACTGTTCCCTTTAGTTCTGGGCTGCCCAGTAGAAGGTATGGCCATGTCTGAATGAGTCCAGCAAAGGGCCACTAATGCAACTAAGGGTTTCACAGAATCACAGAACACGTGAGGTCAGACAGGACCCCTAAATATTGCTTAGACCAAGCTCCCTACTAAAAGCAGGGTCAAATGCTCAGGGAAAGTTCTGAGTGTCTCCATTGATAGAAGCTGCACAAGCCTTTTGGAACTTATTCTCATGTTTGACATATTTCCCTATAAAAAGGTTTTTCATATCTCCAAATAAGAGTTTGCTGTATTGTAATTAGTGCTCACTGCACCTCTTGTCCGTCCTCTAGATAGCACTGAAAAGAGCCTGTCTTCCTCATAAATATCCAATGGCAGGAACTACTTGTTGGTAAGATTCCCCTTGCCAAATCACATGTTGCAGGACTATTTTGTATGACTATCTGAGAGCCTCAGAATCCTGGCAACAGTGTGTGTCACATGCCAGAAAGGAAGTTTATCTACAAAGCTCAGGAAGAAGTCTCTCGGCCTTTCCTTGTATTTAAAATCCTCCTTAATCCTTGATTAAGGCAGCGGTCGGGGGGGAAGGCGGGGTGTAAGGATGGGATGAGGTTTGGACTAAATATACTCCAGAGGTCCCCTCTAACCTCAGCTATCCCATGATTCTGTAACAAGTGGTTACTTACAGACATGGCATTAAGAACAGCCATTAAGTTTTAATTCTTAAGAAAGATAAAGATTTTTTTTTTGTCTGCACAAGCAATTAAAAATAAATAAGAATTGAACCCAATAAAAACCAGTATCAACTCCATCAGTTTACCCATGCAAACAGGAATCTGGATGTTTCTGTAACATAACCACTCAAAGCAAGATTCAAAACTTCTTGAACACCGTACTGTCTGCTCCCTTTATCTGCTTCAGGGATTTCTACTATCTATATCCATACTGATTGGATCAATATCCCATGACAAAAAGCACTTCAAGATGACCAAGCACATACTCAAAGATGAACAACCTACAGAGAAGCACATAACTTGCCAAAAGCTGCTAGGGAGTTAAGAGACATATGGCATGTTGTTTGATAAATGTTTTGTTTCCTTATATGCCTGAGGTTTAACCTGAATCATCTACTCCTAGCTCTGGAAAAAAATTATACCAAATATACTATACTATGCTCTAAACTGGTAACATTTTTCTGCTGTTCAAAGTTGCAGGCTTCCAGTCTTACACTTCTCTGAACACACACTGGGAAACACATCAGAACTAGAAAGAAGGCTGTAATGGAACGCAATGAATGAGTTCCAAGTGTCTAGGCTTCAGAATTAATAAACTTCGAAAAAGCATAGCCCCCAGTTTTCAAAGGAAAGATATCAGCTGGAAAGGAGCACTGAAAAACACAGAAAGAACCGACCAATACCTCTCTTGCTGAGAGACCTTATACAGGTTTACTCCCCGGTAAGGACCTCACCATGGAGCTGTAGCCATACGTGTACTATTCCAGCCTTGGTGCTAAATTTGAGGGTAAATCTCTCTTTGGTATGTTTTTAGAGAATAATTGAAAGACAGCACTTGTAAAGAGGTGTAGTAAGTTAGTAAGAAGGACATCAGGTATGCTAATGTAGATAAATAGAACTGTGTTATGACAGCCAAGTTTTAAAACCTGAAAGCTTACACACAATGAATGCAGTAATACAGTACTGCCAAGACATGAAAGAAGGTGTAAAAAGGGAAAAGAGGAAGTAGAAAATAAAGAGCTAGGACTATATAGTTGTGATCGATTAAAAAAGCCTGGAGAAAGCATTGAGAAAAACAGTAAATGCATTAGAAGAAATAGGGATGGAACAGAGCAGACAGTTAAGGAAAAACATATAAGGCAACCACAGTTTCCTACAATAATCTCAAAATTGTTAATGTCTTCCAATAGTAAGTGTTTCTACAGGAAGCCTTCTTAACAGAAGTTTTCAGAGAAACCTGTTCACTACAAAAAGCTCCCATGAGTTTATTTGATTGTGTGCTATAATAGCAAGGTTTACAGGAAATTGCTGCATCTGGAAATGAAACTGGACAAAATGCTGATGTACAGAAAACATGAAGCAACAAAAACCTTAGGAATTACTCATTCCCTTTTACAAGTAATTTATTAACTTGAACTCCAGTACAAAGTCTTTTCATGGCCACTGATCAAAAAAAATGAATTGTATTAATTACTTAAAATTACTTAATTTTCCAAAGATGGCACAATTTATACCTGTACTACAGTAATGCTGAGTCTTCCTACTGTACCCATGGGTCCTCCATACTGTAACTGCTGAGCTGCCTGGGCATCCAGCTGGATTTGCTGTTGCTGCTGGGTTGGGGTAATGCGAAGAAAATCTTGAGGAAGTTCACCGACATATACCTTAAAAAAGAAAGAGGAAGAAGGGAAAAAATACTTCAAAGGTGAGTTTTTCACATTTAGAATGAGAAAGAAAAGAATATAAATCAAAGTGTATCAAATTCAGCTGGATTTAGTCTAGTTTTGACAGCATGAACAAAGAACCAATAAAATGACAATACTGCCAACTCATGTAGAGAATGTTCTCATACTCACCTTCAAAAACACTAAATTCCAACATAAGCCTCTGAAAAAATGTAGGACACACAGAGCCAAAGTGCTCTGCAACTAAACATTTAAGTAGTCCATAAAAATGTCAGAGCTACGAAGTTTTGCATCATATTCACATATGACATCTGATGGCACCCAGTTCTTTCACTCACATTGCATCCAAGTATTCCTGTGTCAAGACACAGCACACTGCTTTCATTTGAAAAGGTCACTTTCACAGTCACCTTCAAGACAGATTGTAGAAACAGTATTTCCTATGAATCCTGCAACAGAATAAAGACGCCCTAATGATTTTCCAATGTTAAACACAGCCGGTTTGCAACTAACCATGGTGACAAAATTCCACCACACTCAAAACAATAATGGAGAAAACCCTGGTCTATCAAGAGGATAAGTCATGACAAAAAGTATACTAGAGGACCTCCACCACATGAGCCAATATGAATCAGCACTCATCACGTATTTTCTGTTAGCTTTACAGTAAAAGAAAGGAAAGTTTCTACCTACTACTGGTCAGTTAGACAACTCAGGTTGTTTCTAGGTTTTAAATGCTTGGTGAATGTTATCAATAACACACTTAGAGAGAGCATCATTTTAAACTAACACACATACTGTAATAATAAATTTTAAAAGACTAATAAAGTGTAAAGTGGCATAGAAAATTTATAATTAAGCTGTACTTGTTTCTGTTGTCTATAGAGTTGTTTACATATTTAATAGAGAACTGTCCACCTCATGAAGACAAAGGACAATGCAATTTCTCATGTTGCAACCCTAAGCAATATTACTCAATTGTCTGTCTGGCAGATGCATGCCTACAGAACATAATTTAAGATGTTAACAGGCCTCGAGGACATAGTTTTTCAAGATTAGACAGCATTGGCACGTCAAGATTGCATCTTGGAGACAGAAATTGAAGCTCTTGCCAAATCACATGTTGCATGACTATTTTGTATGACTATCTGAGAGCCTCAGAATCCTGGGAACAGTGGGTGTCACATGCCAGAAAGGAAGTTTAACTAAAAAGCTCAGGAAGAAGCACTGAATGCCTGCTACCAGGCTGTTGGGAGGGAGAGAGGGCAATCAGTTTTGCTTACAAGCATCTTAAAATTTTACCATTAAAATCCTAAGCAGTTTTAGTTTTAAAAAGTGAGAAGAAAAAAACCAGAGGCAAACAGGGAGAAAACTAAGCTAAAGGTGAATAATAAAAGAAAGCTTATTTAAGTTTGGTTGGAAATTACATGTGAGCTGGTAACAGCCTTCTCATTACAATACATATCATTAAAAAGGAGTTGGTTTTAAAATAAAACATAATCCATTTAGGCAACATTTGAAATGACACCAGAATTTATCAAAGAAATTGCATTTACAACACAGCAGGTCCCCCTCCAGCCCTATTTCTAAAGGATGTTTCAAATCTGTTATTATTAGCATCTCTAGGAACAAACATCATAAACACTTCCCGTAGTCAGAAGTTGTGGCTGCAGCCCAGAAACCTCATTTCCATATATGCAAGCTCCCTCTCAACTTCTCAGAAAACAGGACAGGTTCTTTAATATTGCTTTTCTTATGTGCTACAACCACCTGAGAGGTAGTTTTGAGGATCTTCAAAGTGAAAAGCTGCAGGTATAAAACCTGCATCTCAGCTTCTTCAAACTGAAGGCAGTGTGATGTTCTACAGCTACTTGAAGTTACTGAGGACGGGGGTGTCTCAGTCCGACCTCGCTGTTTCTTGTACAGCGCTAAATGGGGCAAATAGTTGCAAAGTATGTTAGTGCAGAGGGATGATCAGAAGAAAGTGAAATAAGGTTCAGAAGTAAAGGGAAGCGGAGGGAAGTCATCAGAACCCTGAACTCAGTAACTGATCACACAAATGGTACCTACAAACAGGAGGGAAAGGGAACACAGTGCCAGGGACAACCACAGATGCCCTAACTTACGGAACCATTTGCCCAGACACAATGCATTCAGGGAAACATAACTAAGGTTTCCACACCTGCAACTACCAAGGAAATCTAACATGAAAATTCTTTGAAACATCACAGAGTTTTAAACACCTAACTGCTCAAAAAAGTTCTAACCATTCTCCTTTAAATGGTTTTACTGTCTTTAAGAAAGAAAAAGTGAATGAGACAGAATTTTGAACTACTATTCTATGCTTTGCATGGTAAATAAAAAATTGGTACCAGATAAGATGCATCCAGAGATCCTGAAAGAGCTGATATTTGTTCAAGGTTGCTCTCTAACATCTTTGAAAGGTCACAGAGATTAGAGGAAGGGCCCTACAGCTGCAGAAAGACAAATCTCATACCCAGTTTTCAAAAGGGTAAGAAGGATGACCTGAGGAACCACAGGCAGGTCAGCTTCACTTCAGTCACTAAAAATTTTATAGAGCAAGTCCTTCTGGAAGACATTTCTTGACACACAAAGGAAAAAAAAAAACCACCAGGGACTAGGAATAGTCAGCCTTTAACGATGCTTTAAAACAAAAAAAGCCTAATGAGCCATCTGCCTTCTACAATAAAATTACTGGAATATGTGAATAAGGAGAGAGCAGAAAAGTATCAAAGCTGGGTCATTACAATCCAAATGAGTTGCATTGATGAAAAACTGGCTGAGGCACTGAGATCAAAGTTAAGGTTCAGTGGTGAATGACATTAGAGGTCGGTTAAAGATGAAATTTTTCAAAGGTCTGTACTGACGCTAACTTATGTGTCTTACCAGTTTTGAGGAGGACACCAAATTTGGGGAAAAATATTTGAGGACAGGACCAACTAGAGAGAGAGGAATTCGATGGCAGGAATCCTATGAAATTCAACATGGGCAAAGTCCTGTACTTTGGACAGAAAAATCCCTGGCACCAGTACAGACTGGGAAACAACTGGCAGGGCTATACCTCTACAGAGGTGAAGAGCAAGCTAAACATGGATGAGCAGAGCACTCTCGCAGCATGAAGCCTAACAGCAGACTCCACTGCATCAACAAGAGCCAGCCACTGGGCTGAGGAAAGCAACGGTTTCCCTTTAATTTAGCACTCATTAGACCACATCTGGAATACCACAACCTGTTTGGGACCCACTAGTATGGAGCTGGAGGAAGCCCAGCAAAGACCCACCAAGATGGCCTATGAAAAGGGCTGGAGCACAAAACTTGTGAGGTCAGGCTGAAGATTTGTACAGAGTGGGAGACACTTAAAATGCACCTTGTAGCAGCTTTCCAGTATCTACGAGGAGGTCATTGAGAAAACAGAGCCAGGCTCTCCTGTGAGATGCAAGGCAAGAAGAAAGGAGATCTCAGCTGTCAAACTGAAACAGAGGAGATTTTATGTGAAATAAACAGGGGTAACTACGGTATACAAACATGAGTTAAAAATTAAAGATAGAATGAGTGTCCATATGACATCTACACCTATTCCTGGAGAAGAGAAGGCTCCAGGAGGACCGCAGAGCACCTTCCAGTCCCTAAAGGGGCCTACAAGAAAGCTGGAGAGGGACTTTTGACCAGGGCCTGTAGAAAAAGATCTCGAAGTTTTGAAGAGTTTCAAGACAAAACTCATCAGAGTAGTCATTATTAAGGAAATTAGGAGAAGAAATCTATATAGTCCTAGCTTGGTATTTGATCTAATTTTGAAGGACCTGACATATTTGCCAGCACAGCGAATACTGAGTAATTTTGGATATGACTGGCTAACCAAGGAATCAGAAATACAAGGTTTTTGGTGGCTCAGTCTTAACCTCAAGCCTGATCAAACTGTTTATTAATACTCCCATTTGTAAAAGGCATCATTTAGCAGCCCTTACATATTCAGCTATAGTGTGTGAAAGACAGAACTGTTCTCTCCAGCACTAAACAAAAAAATGTTTCCCAATCCTTTAGCACCATTTAGTGGCCATTTATTTGTAATGCAGTTGCATATATAGACACAAGTAGAAATCTATCCTCCTCTCTAGAGAAAATTAAGAAAGGTTGGCATGTATCATATCAATATCGTTAGCTGTGAATGGCTGCTTAATATTGCATAATTTATTAATTCATTTGAAAACACTGAAACCTCTAAAGTGGGCAAAGAAGAAAAGCATGCACAACAATGTTAGGAACACATTAAAAAAAACTCCCAAAGCCCGAAATCCAGAAAGCCAAAGCTGCACACGATAAATTATCACACACCTTTCCACTTGCCAGGCTTCAATCAAGTTTAGGAAACAAAAGATTGTAAAGAGATTACACAGGAGTACCTGAGAAACTGTAAAACAAGACATCCAGAAGAATAACATTCTATGTCTGAGATGTAACTCCCTTAAAAACTTTAAGAAAGACTGGGTGGTTATGATATTCAAACATGATGTTTGAGAAGTTGTGGCACTTAGTGCCACGGTCTAGTAACCACAGTGGTAGCGGATCAAGGGTTGGACTTGATGATCTCAGAGGTCCTTTCCAACCTGGCTGATTCTATGATTCTGTGTTCAAGAAGGTTCCCACTAAAATCTTGCCTAGGCCCAGGAAGTTTCACCAAGCCAAAACAAGCAGACATCGAAAGTACTCCACTCAATGCCAACAAGGTGTTTAGCACCACAGGCAGGCAAAACTCCAGCAAAGAAACGGTACTCCAATTCAGGGACAGAAATATCAGCACAATTTCACATCTCTGCAAATCAGGACTACTGTTCACCTTCAGTCAAACCATTCTGTCTGTAACCAAATCCCTCAATATCCCCAAATCCCTCTAAACATAAAACTAAAGGATAACTAAAAGTGAAAGTCCTATTAAACAGACTCTGACTATTTTTCAGGAATTTATATTATTTGGAGCTTTCTTGAGTGAAATCTGTTACATATTGACTGAATTCTATTTGGGTGGAATCACACACACGTCAAACCTTTGGGCATAGCAACTGCCTAAGTCACCACAGATTCAACAAGAACAGCAGTTGTTTTTTAATGATACTACAATGAGCAACAAAAAAATGAATTTACTTTTTTTACCTTAATTCCCCACTTAAAACTTTTATTCCAAGCATCATCACAATCCATTGTAAAATTAATCTATTCTGGAAGGCCAGAGAAATAAGGCATTTTAAGGAATTAAAACCGATGATCATATAATATCTGTCACAAGATAACAACAGACAGCAACGCAGTTCTTCAAGATTAGCAATTTCATAATTCACCTCGCTGGTCTTTCTACAAGGCTCTGTAGATGTACCAAAAGAGTAGCTGTTTCTACAAAATAAAACATAGCCGTTTAAACTGATTGTCTAAAAAAAGTCTCAGTTCACCTTCAAAGCAATATCGTGCTGTCAATTACTACCAGATCCTTCCGGCCAGGAAGAACAGACAGGAGCAGCACTGTCAGTCGAGAGCTGATGTTGTACCCCACACGGCGGAACACCCCGGTATGATGCATTAATATCCCTGGGCAAAACCAGACAATAACATATTCCCAATAAACTCTGAGCACCATCTCCCAGGAGGCTGTAAATTGTTTTTACGATTGCTCAGCGCCTCCCGTCCAACACGCACGCCTACATCCCACACTAGATGCGTCGTTCCAGCCCTCAGGCGGCGGTTCCAGGGACAGAGGCCCGACTGTGCTCCGCGAGCACAGGGAGCTGCGCTCCGCTTCCAGGGGAAAGCGCTTTAGGTCCGGTTTAGTTTAAGCTGCTCCCTGCTCGAGAAGGCCTCTGCACAAAGAACGGGCAGAACAGCCGCCTCAACCCCATGCGCAGAAAGGCAGGACTCTCCCCTCTCCCCAAGCCTCTTCGCCCGGCAGGGAGCCGGGAAGAGAGGCAGACTTCCCTCCCCTCGTCCCCCGGTAGAGAAGAAGAGAGGACTTTTCCTGTCTCCCCTCCGCCCCAGTCGGAGCGGGGGCAAGGCAGGACACACGGACTCTCTCTCGCAGAGCGGCGCAGCAGAGGCCGGGCCGGGAGGGCCGGACGGCGCAGCCCATCGGGGTCGCTCCGAGCCGGGCCTCGCCTGCCCCGCGCGGGGAGCGGTACCGGGACACGGCCCCGGGCGGGCCCCGCGCCCGCAGCACTTACCGGGCCCCGCTGGGTGCTGACGGTGGTCGCCATAGCGCCTCGTCGGGGCCGAGACCCTTCCTCCTCTTCCTCCTCCCGCCCCGCCAGGCCGCCGCTCCCGATCCCGGTGCCGATCCCGATCCCGGTGCCACCCGTCAGTCAGCGCGAGCCGCGTGTCACGTGACCAGCCCGCCCCGCCCCCGGGGGCAGCGCAGCGGCGCCCTCCTGCGCACGCGCCTGTCCGCGCGCCGGGAGGGGCGGGGAGTCCTCCCGCGCATGCGCCGTTGCGCGCTGCGGCCGCCGCAGCGGAGCGCGGCGCTGCGGGGGCGTCGCGGCCGGTAGGGGGCGCTGCGGCGCCGGCGGAGCAGGTGAGTCGCCTCAGGCCGCCATCTTGTGCCGGGGGCGTCGCTCTCGCCGCCCAGGGCGCCCCGCGGGCAGGGCGGCTGTGCGGCCGGGGGTGTGTGGGGCCTGTGGGGCGGTCTCTGCCCGCTCTCTGCCGGCCGTGGCAGCCATATGTGAAAGGGAACGACCCATTGGCTAGCCTGGCCTCAGTGGTTTCCAAAGCTTGCCGAGCAAGCGCAGCCCTCTCCGGGAGAACAAAAGCAGCTTTAATATTCATTGAGTGCTGCTTCGGGAGATAAAGTCTGATTATTCCAAAGCCTGTTTAAATAACAGAACTGTTTCCCGTTGTTAGGGCTGTTTCCTGTTGTCAGGATCTGCGGCATAATTTTAGCCCTTAATTAAAATTCTAGCACGGATTTTGGCAGCTAGAAATAGAACAGTGCAATTAGGAATGCTCCAAATATAGCACCAGCTTTTTTTTTCTTCCCCCCCCCCCCACTATACTTTCAGTGGGAACAGCTTCATCTTTTTACTTCACAGAATCACAGAATGTTCAGGGGTTGGAATGGACTTTACAGATGATCCAGTTCCAACCCCCCTGCCATGGGCAGGGACAGCTCCCACCAGAGCAGGTTGCTGAGGGCCCCATGCAGCCTGGCTTTGAACACTTCCAGGGTTGGGGCATCTGCAACCTCCTTAGGCAACCTGTTCCAGTCTTATCACCCTCACAGTAAATAATTTCTTCATAATATCTTAGCTGATTTTCCCCCTTTTCAATTTATATCCATTATTCCGTGTCCTATCACTACAGTTCCTGACGAAGAGTCTCTTCCTGGCTTCCCTGTAGGCCCTGGAAAGGTGCTATGAGGTCTTCACACAACCCTCTCTTCTCCAGGCTGAACAGCCCCAGCTTCCTCACTCTGTGTCATGATACTCAGAGAAATGAGTAAGACAAGGTGTACTGGATTGGGAGCCATTGAAGGGGCACAGGTGATGCCAGCTGAAAGTCACCAGCTGACAGGAACAGCTCTAAGGTTCCTCTTACTCCTGTCAGCACTTCCTCTGCTGGAAGCGGAATTCATGTCAACCTGCAAAACCATTAAAGAAGCAAATTGTCCTTCCATTGTTCTTACCAATAAAAAAGAACCAAACCTGAAAAGGCATCAGCTTTTTTATTTAAAAAGGACTGTAAATTTCCCCCCCTTTTTTTTTTTTAGCTTGTCTCTTGACAAAGTTTGGCTTTTTTCAGGGATAAGGAGTTAAGATTCCTAGAAGAAGCTAATGGGACTAAATTTTTTTCATTGGCTCTTGTATAGGTTTCTTAGCAGAGACAGTGCACGATATGAAGTGGCAATGCAAAGTAATTTTAAACAAAGTGATTAAGAACATTCAGCACTTACAATATCTGATATGTGCCCTGTGAACAAAGCTTGAGTGCTGCTACAGTTATGGCAGTTTATAACAAATGCTATCTAGATGAAGCATCTTTCGGGAAACTCAATTTCTTTATATTCTATATATGTGCAGCAGAGTTTCAATAATTAAAGGATAGAAGTTTCTTGAGCTAACACGGTTAAAGCAGTCAGTAAACCCCATAGAGGTAACGGAAGAAGGTCAATGCTTATCTTCATAATTACAGAGAATCATAGATTCATAGAACGCCGAGGGTAGGAAGGGACCTTAAAGATCATCTAGTCCCAACCCCCCTGCCATGGACTGGGACACCTCACACTAGATGAGGTTGCTCAAGGACTTATCCAGCTTGGCCTTTACCACCACCAGGGATGGGGCATCCACAACTTCTCAGGGCAACTTTTTCCAGTGCCTCACCATCCTCACAGTAAACAATTTTTTTGTAATACCTAAGCTAAATTCCCTCTCTTTCAATTTGTACCCATTACTCCTTGTCCTATCACTACAGTTCCTGATGAAGAGTTCCTCTCCAGCTTTCCTGTAGGTCCCCTTCAAATACTGGAAAGTTGCTATGAGGTCTTCTTGAAACCTTCTCCAGACTGAACAGCCCCAAATTTCTCAGCCTGTCTTTGTAGGGGAGCTGCTCTAGCCCCCTTATCAACTTTGTGACTCTCATCTGGATTTGCTCCAACAGTTCCATGTCCTTCTTATGTTGGAGATACCAGAACTGTAGGCAGTACTCCAGGTGGGGTCTCACGAGAGCAGAGCAGAGGGAGAGAATCCCTTGACCTGCTGGCCACACTGCTTTTGATGGACTCCAGAATACGGTTGGCTTTCTGGGCTGTGAGTGGTCATTGCTGGATCATGTTGAGTTTTTCATCAACCATCACCTCCAAGTCCTTCTCTGAAGGGAGAAAGTCTTGACATTACTATATCATTACAGCCTTGACATTGTGAGGGCAAGTTGGAGGGGAAAGACTGTTAACAAGCTTCCATGATATTCTTGCATCTATAACCACACAAGCTAGGATATTAGTTTTGGGTAAGTCATGAGCAGTTACAGTTTTATTCACCATGGATTTAATTCCAAGACCTCATCTAGTCACAATAATTTCAAAGAGATCAGACAGGAGAAAATGTTGTTGTCCCTATGAAATTTATATCAACAGAAAAAGAAAGGAATATTAATTCGGAGATTCCTGACATTCATTGTCCTCATACAGAGATACTCAGCAACTAAAGTAAGCATTGCCCCTTCCTGACAGCGCTACCACTTCCTCACTGCATATTTTATTTTCCTGTTTTATTATTGTTCTCAGGAAGTCCACATAGAATCCAATAACATACTTTTACTCACCATTTTAAGTAATTTGAAGCATTTTTCCAAGCTTTTGTTGTTAAACAAGGCCCTCTGCCCCCTTAAGGCCTGGAAACTGCACAGCAGTGCCGGCATCGCCACCTGGCGAACATCACCGGAACGGGAAGTGGATCCCCAGGGATTAGCACAGACGGAGTACTGGGACAAGAGCATTAGGCGAGGCATCTGATGTCAGAGTGTTAATTAAAGTGGGAATGTAAGCCATGGGAAAGGTGAGAGAACAGAAGTCATAAAACCTTCTTATTTGCAACATATGGGCATCATTAAGAAAAGGTTGAAAGGTAATCAAAGGAGCTATAATGACAATAAATTGTGTTTATCTTGTAATAAACATTTAGATGTCAATTTCTCCTGTATCATTCTTTCATTCTGATTTCCAGTCTCTTCTCTATTGTTCCCAGTTCTTCATCTATCCTTCAGTTTTGTCACAAGCCCTGTATTCCCTGAAATTTCGCCTGGAGCTTTCTGTTCACATTTTTTATAACCTCATCTCCTTGCTCCTAGCTGTTGGCTGTTTAAGAGATAATCCATGTTTCTCAGTTCTCCATGCTGGTTCCCCAATACTGGCCCAAATGCCAGAGGTGAGTTTTACCTTTGCCAAAACCTTTGCCTGGTGGGGACACTTAATAGAGTTTATTTTCTGTAACCACTTGACTCTTTTTATGAAATTTCTAATAAAAATTGATTATGACTGGACGGGTTGTTGGACGTGTGTAGAGACAAACAGATATGTGTCCACATGGTGTGGTTGCTTGAAAATTATCAAATAGGCACTGCTCCCTAGGCTGGCTCCAGAGTATGAAAGTGTAGATGGCACCTAAGCTCTTCTTCATAAAATCAGAAAATAATGTCTCAGCGTGGCAGAGGAAGAGAGTAATGCACATGATGTTGTCCTCACTGAAGAACAGTTACAGCAGAATTCCTGCCAAATTAATTTTGTGCTTGTACCAAAAGCCAGAAGGGACACTTGAAAGGTGGAGGAGAGTCTAATGCTATGGAAGGAGTGAGCGAACACAAAGCTCAGATGGATAACATCTAACTTCTGGTAGGTATTTATTTAGCACTGGGGTCTGACTCTAAAACTGAAACATGTCAGACCAGCAAGATGTAAACGGCAGTGTGGTCAGAGGACTACACTTGTACCTCTGTGAAAATAGTGCACTCCTAGGAAGGTCAAGCCTCCCAGTTTATTTAGATGAGATACATAATAGAATCCTTCAGTTAGGAAGTAAACTTTAAACTCTTTGTTAGCTCATCTGTTCCCCAGGGAAAGCTCACAAGTAGGTTGGGTGGTTACATTTTATGCCATTTTGAGTATCTCTCATGGTACTGGGCGAGTTCCTACAGTTATTTAACCCCATTTGCTAATTGTGACTTACAAAGACAGTGAAGTCACAAGAATGTGTTTTAAAATATACTCTTAGCTGATCTAAAGCTGGTCCATAAAAGCAGAGTAACAAATCATAGTTGTGGGTTTTGTAGTTCAGAGATACTCTCTGGCTTAGCAGAGGATCTCACAGTGAACTAGCAAAACAGGTTTGGGGTTAAGTTTTGTAGGTATTGCAAACATACAAGAATATTGTGGGATGGCTATGCATCATTACTGGCTTGGATCTCAGCCCTTTTCGTCATGTCCGCGTGGGATTTTAGGTACCACAAAAAAGGTACAGTTCTATTGCATGGGGAAAAGCATCTTTTGCAAAATGCAGAGTCCAATTCCACCATCCTTCCTTACACAGTCTCACAAAGCTGACTTGCAGGCAAGGGTGACAGTGGAGAAGGCCAAAGGGATCTACTGCTTTGTGGATCCAACACATACCAGAGTGGAAGTGCAGAAAAAAGAGAGGGATGTTGTAGGCTTCCAGCTACAGAAAAGCCTTTGGAGCCCTAGTGTGCTAAGCATAGCTTCTCAGGATGTATGCAGATTTACACAAGGGCTGGACACAGCACCAAACACAGAACAAGAATGCTAATCTTTTGTTCACGGTAACAGATTGAGCTTGGTAATGTACAACTGAGCTGAAATAGGAACATGGAAATCCCAGATGG